CACGCTCTTCCTCAGAGACCGACTCACCACTAGCTCGCCCTCCTCCACCCCGCCGCCTCCTGCCCCCCCCCNCCCCCCCCCCACCGTCCGCTTGCTTCTTCTCTTCAAATCAGACCTCACCATGAGGGCCGTCGTTCAGCGGGTAAAGGGCGCCACCGTCCACGGTCAGTCTCACCCGCATCTTGGAGCGGCAGAAACGACAAACGGCCGCACCGCTCGCTGATACCCATCCATCGCTCTCATTCCACCTTGCTCTGTGCGTCGCCTCTGACCTTTCGCCCGGCGAGCAGTCGATGGGAAGCTCGTCTCGTCCATCGGACCGGGCATCGTCGCCCTAATCGGCATATCCACCGGTAGGTCACCGTGACCTCGACGTCCAGCCGCGGCGCTGCATCACACAACGCACCCTCGCCCTCACACCATGAGCACCTTTCCCCGTCATATCGACCTCAGAGGACACGGCGGCCGAGATTGTACCGCTCGCCAACAAGATTCTCACCACCAAGTTGTGGAACGATAACCAGGAACGGGCCCAGATCCAGGTACCGTCCCAGTACCTCTCCTCGTCCTCGAGCGATACTGACGCCACCACCGCGGCAGCATCAGCACCACCATCCTCCTCTTCCAACGGCGACACCACCGGCGGCGACGCGGCGGCGCCAAAGGATCGCGCCGAGCAGGTATGGGGCGGCAAGCCGTGGAAAAAGTCCGTCGTCGAGCTGGGCGGAGAGGTGCTGTGCGTCTCGCAGTTCACCCTCTTCGCGCGCACCGTCAAGGGCACCAAACCGGACTTCCACCGCGCCATGGGCGGCCAGCAGGCCAAGACCATCTACGACGCCTTCCTCCAGAAACTCGCAGACTCGTACAGCCCAGACCGCATCAAGGACGGCGCGTTTGGAGAGATGATGGACGTCTCGCTCACCAACGACGGTCCCGTCACGATACTCCTCGACACTGCCGAGAAAAAGTAACTGGGGGCGCGCGCGGTGTTGCACCGCCCTTCGCGACGTCGCCGTGGCGGTTCCTTCATTACTTGCAATGACCAGGGACGACGTCTCGACGATCTAGCATCGCCCCTGCTCGACATCCTGCTGATGCTGCTCGTCATCGTCATCATCGCCCTCGGTGGGCAGCAGGAACTCGTCAATCCTCTGCCGCATCTCGTTCCTGCCCACCTTGCGCGGCACCTGACCCTGCTGCGATGCAGCGCCAGCCGCCATCTGCCGCCTACCCCCGTCAGCCGCGGCGTCCAGCGACGCCTCGATATCCGCGTCCGTCTCGGCCACCTGCCCATCCCATCCGCCTGCGTCGCCCGCCCCTTTCGACGCTGCATCGACGGCATCGGCGTCGGAGAGGCGATGCCGCACGTTGGACAGGACGTAAGGCGGCAGCAGCATGCTTGCGTCCGCGTCCCTCTGTCCGCCTCCGCGATCCGTCGCGTGGACCAGCAAAGGCCGCTCGGGCGTCTCGAGCATCAGGATGCAGGCGTAGCACAGCAATGATGCAAGGTCCACCCGGTCGTCGGTCTCCTGCGCCCGCGCTGCGGGCTCTTTCTTGACCTCATCCGAGATGCCATCGAGGGTCGAGATGGTGATCTCGTTCTTCCAGTCCTTTGCGCCCTGGCCCGCCGGCATGTAGCAGAGCGGACAGGCCCGTCGAGTCTCGCTGGCGGCCCACCGTGGCAGGCTGCGCGCAGCGTGGGCGAGCCGGCTGCCCCGCGCCCCGACGCGCGGCTCGAGCACCATCGAGCTTCCATTCGACGCCGCTTCCTTGGCCTTGGCTTTGCGCGCCTTGCGCCCCAGCGGCGCTGATGGCCCTACCTGCTCAAACGCAGGCACGCTGATCGGAGGCGCTGTCGTCGTCGTCGTCGTCGTCGCCGGTGCGGCAGTTGCTGCTGGTGCCGGTGTCAGTGCCGGTGCCGTTGCCGTTGCTAGTGGTTCGGAGCCTTCCTCAGGCTTGAGGACGAGCTTGCTGCCAGTCTTGCCAATCGTGCTGACAGTCGAGGGTACGCCTCGTTCGAGATTGAGGATGAAGGCTGTCGGCGGAGGCAGTCGGGATGGACACACATCCGGGTAAGCACGGAGCCGTGCCAGGGGTCGGGAGGGCAAGGCACGACGCGCGACTCGACTCACTCTCAGTCAGGCGGCCGATGCTGCTCTTGTCCATCAGCGGCTCGCCAGATGCATTGTAGGCCGAGCCGGCCGGCACTGCTGACGGCACCAGGTCCTGGTCCGGAAGCCAGCGGACGTTGTTGGCCTCGGCGAAGAACTTGACCTCCTGGATCAGATGGGTCTTGAGCGGTCTAGCCACGAGCAGGTCTGCACGGGTCGACAGGAGGGGAAGACGGCAGGTCAGAACGACGGTCAACGACGCTCGAGGTACGGCGGCGACGTTCCGCATGCTCACCATCGATCCAGACGGCGTCGGAGCCCTCGATGGGCAGTTTGTGGCCCCCGCCCTTTGCGAGCGACTCGATGAGGCGGATCGAGAGGCGCGTGCCGCTCTCTCCGAGCATGAGGGCCGAGCAGCCACGCCTGGTGGCCTCGCGACGGAGCAGGTAGTTGACGAGGATGCGGTGGAGATCCTCGGTCCTCGTCCTAGCCGAAGCGATGCCGGTGCGCGGAGTGTCCTCGGGGTGAAGCGACGCAAACAGGGATCGCAGCGCTGCCCTGCGGTCGTCGACACGCACCGTCGAGGGCGAGAGCAAGCGATCTGGCCCGGACTCTGCGCTGCAGGCGACCGCGCAGCCGCCTTCGCTTTCGCCGTCCGCTAGATAGACGTCCTCCAGCTTGAGGCCGACGAATTCAAAGTCGTCGCAGGCCTCGGCTTCGAAGAGAGCGCGCGCGTCTGCGGTCCGATCGCGGCCGTCGGGGATGATGGCGCTGTCGTCGATGAAGATGACGTAGACCTTGGCCACCTCCGAGGTCCTGCCGAGGCCCGCGTTCAAGGCGGACATCTTACTGGTCACCGAGCCGGTGCCGTCATCGTTCTCGGTGGCGTTTTCCCTCTCTTTCTCGGTGCGCCCTCGCTGGTTGTCGGGGCGGAAGTATTGGGTGGCGGTGCGGAGGAGGACGGAGCTGGATAGGCCGGCGCTGAAGCCGAGGGCGAGGCTGGCATTGACGGCCTGGCGATCATTGTGGCCTGAAGCGGGCGTGGTGGCTGCGCGGCTGATGAACCGTGCGATGCCGGCGCCTCGTGCGGCCTCGAGGCCTGCCTTTGTCTTTTGGTCGAAGTTTGCCCTTGCGCAGGGCAGGCAGTAGCTGGCGTCGCGGAAGTGGGCGGTGGCGGTGGCGGTGCGGCAGCGGTAGCACTGGACCTGGGGTTGGTGCGCTTTGCTTGCTGCGGCGGTGTCTGGTGGCGGATCTTCTGGCTGTGGGCACGGCATGACGGCTGAGCGACGAAGGGAAGGGTTTGCCTGTGTGGTGTTGAGCGAGAGGGAGGGGAAACGGCGGGAGAGGGCAAAGAGGGGAGAGCGAGTAGCGACAAGAAGCCAACCAACCTCGAGCAAAGACGTCGCCTCGCCGCCAACTTTTTTTCTGGCGCAGAGGCCATCAGCCGACGTTGCGTGGAGGGCGCAGCGTGGGCTCAACTCGCCTCGTTGGACCCTCGCCATCTTCGTCGACCTCCAGACCACCACCGCCACCGCCGCCATCGCTATTGCCGTTCCTCCAAGGCCGCTCTTCGTCGCCTCCGCCACCTCCCCGCCCAACATGCCCACAACGATGCGCAAGCGGCAGCGCAAGGCCGACCCGCTACCGACCCCCGACCGCCCCTACCTCGCCCTCGGCCTCGAGGGAAGCGCCAACAAGCTCGGCGCCGGCGTCGTCCTGCACAAGCCCCTCGACCCGGCATCGCCGCTCGGCAAGGGCGCCACCATCTCATCCCGCGCAGTCGGTCAGGTAGAGGTCCTCTCAAACGTACGACACACCTACGTCACCCCGCCAGGGCACGGCTTCCAGCCCTCGGACACAGCCAAGCACCACAAGGAGTGGATCATCAAGGTCGTCAAGGAGGCGGTGCGCAGGAGCGGCCTCGACAGCCTCGACGACGTCGACTGCATATGCTACACAAAGGGTCCCGGAATGGGCGCACCCCTCCAGTCGGTCGCCCTCGTCGCCAGGACCCTCTCGCTCCTCTACCGCAAGCCCCTCGTCGGCGTCAACCACTGCGTCGGCCACATTGAAATGGGCCGCACCATCACCGGCGCGGCCAACCCCGTCGTCCTCTACGTCAGCGGCGGCAACACCCAGGTCATTGCCTACTCGGCCCAGCGCTACCGCATCTTTGGCGAGACGCTCGACATTGCCGTCGGCAACTGCCTCGACCGCTTCGCCCGCGTCATCGGCCTCAGCAACGACCCCAGCCCGGGGCAGAACATCGAAAAGGAGGCCAAGAAGGGCAAGCGGCTCGTACCCCTGCCGTACGCGACAAAGGGCATGGACGTCTCGCTCGCCGGCATCCTCAGCGCCACCGAGGCCTACACGCGCGACAAGAGGTTCCGACCCAACGCGCCCCGGTCACACGACGACGCTCCCGTCGGCAGCCTCGCAAACGGCCAGACGTGGAGCGGGGAGGGAGGAGGCAAGCACATCGTCAACCTCGGCGCCGACCCAGCGCGCGCGACAGAGACGGAACCCGAGGGCGAGACGACGGCCGACGCGGACGACGTGAACGCCACACTAGACGACTCCAAGGTCGACGTCTCGCAGGCGGGCATCGAGCAGCTCGACGCATCAGTAGACGTCATCACCCCGGCCGACCTGTGCTTCAGCCTGCAAGAGCACATCTTCTCGATGCTGGTCGAGATCACCGAGCGTGCCATGGCCCACATCGGGAGCAAGGAGGTGCTCATCGTGGGGGGCGTGGGCAGCAACGAGCGTCTGCAGCAGATGATGGGCATCATGGCGGGCGAGCGCGGCGGCAGCGTGTTTGCCACCGACGAGAGGTGAGTGGTCGCGGTCGTGGTGTTGCGGTCATCGTGGCGAGAAAGGACATCGCTGACCTGCAAGAGACCCTGCCCCACTACTTCTGCGCCCGATACCTTCAGGTTCTGCATCGACAACGGCATCATGATCGCCCACGCGGGCCTACTGTCGCATCGCATGGGCCTCGAGACGACGCTCGAAAAGAGCACCGTCACGCAGCGGTTCCGCACCGATGCTCCCCTGATTTCGGTGAGTGGTCAGGCTGCCAATCTGTGGTCGATGGCGATGTAGCACAACACGGCGGCTGATTCGGTCCTCGGCCATCTCGCTCTTCTTCACTTTCTTGTGGCAGTGGCGAGCATGATGTGGTGGGAGACATGGTTCACGGCCGCACCTTGTAGTCTTTGCCGGGCCACTTTGGCGAAGCCCATGACACGATGAACGAACCCGCATGCTTGAGGGCGACTCTGGCTTTACCGCGTTGGGAAGACGAGGGTGCAGACTGTGCTGAGGCCGTGTTGCTGCCGCCGCCAGGGCTGAGCACCGCCGTCGCTTGGCAGTGAGAGCAGCAGAGTGTGAGATGGTGGCGAAAGGAGAGGGAAGCAGAAGGGAATGGCCGGGTGTGTTGACTGTGGCCAGCCAGGCAGGGCCAGGGCGAGTTGCGCAAGGGCCACCCACCCAACGCCAAATCCGCTTGCCGGTCTGTGCCTCGACCCGCTCGACCCCACCTGGCCCGTTCCTCGACCACCACCACCACCACCCGAACCACCACCACCACCACCTTAGACCGCTATACCAGCTCATCTTTTGCAGCTGTTGTACTGCACCTGGAGTCGACTCCCTTGTGGCCGTCTCCTCAGCTCTCGATCAGCCTCGAGCGTTCCTGGCAGCTTGCATCAACGAAAGCTGCAAACAGCAGGGTCGACACAGCAGCGCCTTCGACAACTTGACATTGGCAGACTCCTTTCCGCCCGCTTTCGACACTGCAGCCATCCTGCCTCGGCTCATTCCGATACTCAGTGCACCGCTCGCCCGCCGATACCCCTTAACTGAGCCCGACCGGCCCAAGCAATGTCTACGATATCCACGCCCCAAGTCGGTGGCACCTCGTCTGCCTTTGGCTCGCCCAGCGGAGCCGGCACCATGTCCTCGCCTCGGCCAACGATCCCACCACCGTCCTTTGCGCCGGGGCCATCGAATGCGGCGGGGAATGCCGGTCCACCGCAGCCCAACTCTACCTTTCGCCGGCTGGTGTGGTCCGGCACCATCCCCATTGCCGTCTCCCTGGACCCGTCGGATCTACCCCCCGGCTCGGACCAGGCACTCGCTTCGACCTACCTCATCGTGCCGCGCGTCTCGTACCTGCCCCTCATTGTGGAAGAGGTGCGGCGGTCGATGGTCGAGCTGGTGCTCGACGACAATGCACTTGCGGCGGTCGATGAGCGGGAATGGTGGTTCGAGTACGAGGGGCAACCGCTCAGGTGGTAAGTCTAGTCGGCGGCTTCGAAGAGCTTCCCAAGTCGAGCACCGAGGCAAGCACCTGCGACACGAGGCGCTGACCAGATCGACCACTCCCTGCCACCTCTCGCAGGCACTGGCCGATCGGATTGCTGTACGACTACCACACGAGCAATCCGGCCGCTTCGACGATAGCGACGAGCGCGGCGGGCACTGCGGGTGCGCCTCCGGCATCGCGCTTTGACGGCCTCCTCGCCTCGTCGGCCTCAGTTATTCCGCCAGCCATCAGCCCGACGACGTCACGGCAAGCCGAGGTATCGGCGTTGGGGCGTCTGCCCTGGCAGATCCGGCTACGGCTGAGCAAGCCGCCTCTGGACAAGCTGCACTCCAAGTCCGGCGTAGACATCTGCAAGACGAGCTTCATGTCGATGATCAAGGAGGCCGACTTTGTGCGGTACGGCAGCACGAAAAAGGTCGTCAACCTGCGGAGGCAGGAGCAGGACGCCCTGTGGGAGGGTGTGGTCCAGCGTGAGTGCCGAGGCGGATTTTCGTCGACAGTGCTCGACCTACTAGAGCAAGTGACTGACCGCGGTCTTCGATCTCTCGACACCTTGCTATCCTGCTCCTGATCGCGCTCGTGCAGACGACTTTGACGCGTACTGGGCGGTGGCGCACAAGCTCGTGCCCAGCACGCAGCCGCTGTCGACCTCGAGCAGCGCCGAGGCGGAGCGGGAATACCTGAGCCGTGCGGCGGCGCTGCGCAGCGGAGGGTCCTCTGCCGCGCTCTCGGAGGAGAAGCCGGGCGGCTCGGTGGGGATGCCGCGGCAGGCCTCATTCACCTCGCAGTCGAACGAGTCGCAGGCGAGCCTGGCGCCCAGCATGGTCTCGACCATGACCGGCGCCACGTCGTCGGACGCGCACGGAGGGACGATGACGCCGTCGGGCGCAGCGGCTACCAGCAGCAGCGGCGGCATCCGGAGCGTGCCGATCCGCATCCTGCTGCCGGACGGTGCCCCCTCTGTCCAGGAGCCGGTGGCGCCGCTGCTCGAGGACGGCAGGCCGGCGACGCTGGCGACGCTGCTATCGGGCCTCTTCCCGCTCCTCTTTCCGCCTCCGCCGTCGTTTTCGAGCTTTCAGGCGGCCAGCCCGCCGCTGGCGTACGCCGTGATCCAGGGGGTGCGGATGCCGCTCGACGCCGAGGTCGGGTGGCTCGGGTCGACGATGCTCAGCCCGGACGGCTGGCTCACCATCGTCATCGGCCTGTTGCCTCAAGGCGCTCCAGCATGAGGTGCACAGTGCAGGGGTCGGCGGTATCGACGCGAGGAACTGCCGCTGCTCCCATCCCAGCCAGTCGTTCTCGCACAAGCGCCGTGGTCAAGGCAACCCTGTGGGCTGCGGTACCCTTTGCCTTTGCACATGGACCTTATCCTATCGCCCGATGCCTGCCTCTGTCGGCACCCACACATAGATGTCCGTAGCGCCTGTTCAGTCCATCCAAGGGGTCCGTCAATGGGAATCTGAAGCAGAGGGGTTTTAGTAGGTGGCGGATGGGGTCGTCCGGGCGGCAATCGATTGTCAATTGACGCCCGATTTTGCCCGATGTGTGCGGGGTGGAGCAGGCCATGGCGGGCAGGCCCTCTGGCCCTGAGAGGCGTCGCCCGACGCGCGCGTTTGGCCGTCGGTGGCCGCTTGCCTTCCTACCCGCTCCTTCCAGCCAGCCACCAGCCACCTTTGAGCCCCTGTCCATCCAGGCTCGCCACGCACAGCAGCCTGTTCACCACCACTGCCGCCCCATCCACGCATTGCTGTGCTGCCACCGCTGATTCGCCAATCGCTGCTGCTGCCACGGACAACACCCACGACGACGACGACGACGACAGCGACGCCAAGGCTCGATCCGATGTACATTCCCCGTCGGCTTTAACCTGGCCGACCAAACGAGCGGAGAGCGTCAGCAGCGAACGATCCGCCAAGCCGAGCTGAGCTGACTGTACGGCGCCACGGGGTCCAGGACACAAGGTCCACGGACGCCTCCCATCATCTCTCGGCCACATCGACATCCAGTCATCCGGCTCGGACGAGTCGCTGGACCGTGACCCGACTGCTGCTCCCCACGAGATTGCCCGCACCAGCCCACGGATCATCGACCCCCTCGCCCCCCAGCGTTCGGCCAAGCCGCCCTCTCCTGGCTGCTGCGCCGCGTCCATCCGCCTTTCGGCCAAAGTCGCTTGCCGGTGCCGTCGCTGCCGCAGCTTTCCCTCGCCATGAACCAGCAGGGTCAAGGCTCAGGTCCTAGCGGCCAGCCGGGCGCGGGCACACCTGGACTACCATCACAACAACTGCCGCAGCAGCAGCAGCAGCAGCAGCAACAGCAGCCAGGCACTCCGCAGCAGCAGACTGGCCAGCTCGCCGGATTGCAGGGACAGAACGCCGGCACCCTCCAGGCTCAGCAGTACAAGGCGGCGCTGATGCAGGCGCAGCAACAGCAGCTCCAGGCCATGCGGGCCAACCAGGCCGCCCAGGCGCGCAACCCCGGCCAAGCTCAGCCCCGGCCTCCAAACGGTCAAGCTCAGCCACAGCCGCAGCAGCAGCCTCAGCAGCAGCAACTCCCCTTCCAGCAGCCACAGCCGCAGCAGCAGCAGCAACAGCAGCAGGGCCAGGCGCCAGGGCAGGTGCCCGGTCTACAGGGCCTGCAGGCGCTGCTACAGAACAATCCGGAGCGCCTTGCTGCTTTCGTCAATGCGGCGAGGGAGGGAAAGGTCAGCCAGGAGCAGCTGGCGCAGCTCCGCGTCCTGCTCGGCGCTCATCAGGCTCAGCAGCAACAGCTTCAGCAGCAGCAGCAACAGCAACAGCAGCAGGTGCGGCCGCCTCAGCCCAATATGCCCCAGATCTCGCCTCAACCGCCGCAACCACAGCAGCAGCAGCAACAGCAAGCGCCGACTCCTCAACAGCAGCAGCAACAGCAGCCCCAGGCAAACACACAGATGGCCGATACGATGTTGCAGCAGGTCCAGCAGCAGCAGCAGCAGCAGCAGCAGATGCCAAGGCCGCCGAACATGATGCAGCAACCACAACAGCAGCCGCAGCCGCAGCAGCCACAGCCACAGCCACAGCAGGGCATGGCGCGGCCTCCACAGGCAGGAGCGACGGCGAATGCTCCGGGCGCGGTCGCCAGGCCTCCGGGCACGCCAGCTGCCAACCAAGGCCCTCAGAACGAGGCTGCGCTCATGGAGCAGTTCAACCGCTTCTCGCAGCCCATGCGGATGAAGGTGCAAGCGCTGGAGAACGCGCTCAAGAACCAGAACCTGACGCCCGAGCAGAGGCAGCAGTACACCAACGCGCTCAACGAGTCACGCACGCAGCTGCAGAACCTGGCCAAGCAGATCCATCTTCTGCGGGAATCGATGCGGCAGAAACAGGCTCAGGCACAGACGCAAGCGCAACAGGCACAAGCACAGACTCAGTCGCCCGCACCCGCCGGTCCTTTGTCGCAGCCTGCTCAGGCTCAGGTCACGGGGCAGCAGCAGCCGCAACAGCCGCCGCCAGGGACGCCGCAGCAGCCCGGCGGTCCTGGCGCATCCGCACCAGGTAAGGCGACGCCACAGGCCGCAGCCACGACCGCAGCCAAGCCAAAGGCCTCGGCCAAGAAGGCTGCCGGTGGCAAGGCGGGTCAGGCCAAGGAGACGGCGGCGGCCAAGAAAGCTGCGGCTGCTGCGGCAAAGGCGAGCGCGGCGGCCTCCCCGGCTGCACCGGCGGCAGCAT